TTTTGGTTTATAGGTGTATATTTAGATGTTAAACATTATCCTAAAAAATATTTTGAAAATATTTTGATTTGACCGAATGGCGAGCTCAAAACCGACCACTTACTAAATATTCGATCTACCAAATTTGGTAGTAATATTATTTGGAAAATGTTCATTTTTGGTTAATATATCTATAAATACGTGCAAATCATTATCCCAAAAAATATTTTAAAAATATCGTGATTTGACCGATAAACGATTTGAAACCAAAATACTGTCTTGCTGGCGTTATACGTAGAAAATCTCTTCATTTGAGGTTTATAGGTGTATATTTAGGTGTTAAACATTATTCTAAAAAATATTTTGAAAATATTATGATTTGACCGAATGGCGAGCTCAAAACCGACCACTTACTAAATATTCGATCTACCAAATTTGGTAGTAATATTATTTGGAAAATGTTCATTTTTGGTTAATATATCTATAAATACGTGCAAATCATTATCCCAAAAAATATTTTAAAAATATCGTGATTTGACATAAAACCGATTTTACGGCTTCAGTTTTTAAGCATAAGTCTATCAAACTTGGGTCTACTAATGACTATCCAATTTTTCTCGGCCCAGTTTATTTGCATGGGAATGCAGATTATCAAACTTATAATCATTTCTTTTCAGATTTAGAGGGAATTTTTAAAAAAAATCTAATTAATAAAAACAATATAATTTTTGGGACAGATGATGAAAAAGCTCTACATACCTCCATAAAACAAAATTTTCCGAATTCTGTGCGATTATTATGCACAAGACATATAAAAGAAAATATTAAAAATTATTTGAGAGATAAAGAGGGGGTTCCCGAAGTTATAAGAAATAAAATAATATTTTTAATTTTTGGTAACAATGGCTTGATATTTTCCAATTCTGATGAGATTTTTTTTGATAAACTTAATAATTTACGAAAATTTTGCGAAAATAATCACTAATATTTTTTTATAGAATATTCTAACATTTATTTAGAAAATAATTTGTACAATCATGTGTTTATCCCAATAAAAAATAAAATTATAAGTGATTTATGGACTAACAACAATTGTGAGTCCATGAATCATGTATTTAAAAGTTATACAAATTGGCAATCAAGTAATTTAATTAATTTAATTGATATAATATATAATAAAGTACAAATACAAGAAAAAGATCTCGAAAGAGCTTTAATAGGAAGAGGAGAATTTTATTTGGCTGAGGGGTATAAGTCATTTCAGATAGATTTATCAATTTGGGAGAAATTTAGTGAGGAAGATAAAAAAAAAGAGGTAGAAAATTTAATAAAAGGAAGTAAAAAACGGGAAAGAAAAAATGTCATGTCATCATGCGGGGAATTAATACTTTTAAAGCCTAAAAATTCTAAAAAACCATGTCAAAAAATTAGAATAAAAAAAAATAGAACAGTATCAATAAAAAAATTAAAATTGAAAAATAATAAGGCCCTAAACTTCGTACTCTTTTTCATATATATCAAATCAATTTTTAATTTTACAATAGATTTTTGTATCGAAACAATGCTTTATCCTAATCATAGTTTTTAAAAAAAATTTATTCACATCGCATGCAAGTATTAATTTTTTTTTTAATTTTTATTCATATCGTCACAAATATCAAATTTTTTAAATATTAATTTTTTGTAACTTTTATTCATTCATATCGTCACAAATACCAAATTTTTTTAAAATTTTTTATTGACATCGCATACAAATATTAATTATTTTTAATTTTTATTCATATCATCACAAATACCAAATTTTTTAAATATATTTTTGTAACTTATATTCATTCATATCGTCACAAATACCAAATTTAAAAAATTTTTTTTTATTGACATCGCATACAAATATTAATTTTTTTTAATTTTTATTCATCTCATCACAAATACCAAATTTTTTTAAAATATTTTTTTTTTACATCGCATAATTTAATTGATTATTCATAATTTCTATTTTGTTAAATATTTTTTAAAATATATGAGGAAATGATGATATATATAGATGAAAATACTAGGGATATCTGATCCTCGTTTAATTATATTTATTTTTCGCTTTTGTTTTTGGTATAATTATTGTATCAAATGTCTTATATCGACATTAATTTAATAAAATTATATTTTATTTTTTGGATTAATATGATATTATATAATAGATAAAAAATAAAATATTTATTAAGATAAAGAATTTTCTATATATAACGCCAGCAAGACAGTATTTCGGTTTCAAATCGGTTTTCTGTCAAATCACGATATTTTTAAAATATTTTTTGGGATAATGATTTGCACATATTTATAGATAAATAAACCAAAAATGATTATTTTCCATATAATATTACTACCAAATTTGGTAGATCGAATATTTAGTAAGTGGTCGGTTTTGAGCTCGCCATTCGGTCAAATCATAATATTTTCAAAATATTTTTTAGGATAATGTTTAACACCTAAATATACACCTATAAACCAAAAATGAAGAGATTTTCTATGTATAACGCCAGCAAGACAGTATTTCGGTTTCAAATCGGTTTTCTGTCAAATCACGATATTTTTAAAATATTTTTTGGGATAATGATTTGCACGTATTTATAGATAAATAAATCAAAAATGATTATTTTCCAAATAATATTACTACCAAATTTGGTAGATCGAATATTTAGTAAGTGGTCGGTTTTGAGCTCGCCATTCGGTCAAATCATAATATTTTCAAAAATTTTTTAGGATAATGTTTAACACCTAAATATACAAGTATAAACCAAAAATGAAGAGATTTTGATCTATAACGCCAGCAATATGTTCCTTACAAACTTTCTACTATTTTTCGCTTCTAAACCTACTCATTAATTAATTCTCAAAGAAACCTCTATTTTTAAAATTTTTTTTAGGTTTTTCACATGTATTTACACCCAAATACAAAAAAAGCGCTATCCAATATTTATTCTGGTTACCTAAGAATATATTTTCATATTTATGTATTTAACGCCCTCTTATGGATATAAATTTGTTAAATTTTGTAATTGAAAAATAAAATATAAGTTGTAATAAGCTAATAAATATATTTTTTTTCCCATAAAATTAATTAAAAATAGAATTTTAAATTATTTGATATTTAATATCAATTTTATAATTAATTAAAAATTGATTTATGTAAAATAAAAAAAAATGTTTTTGAAAAATTTTTTTTTAAAAGATATTATAACATCAAATTATGATTGATTATGATTAATTGCTTTTTAGCAAGACAGTTTGGCAAGACAGTTTAACAAGACAGTATTTAGTCATACCGATGAGGGGGGTTTGTTATCTTGGGTTTAAGTTTACTTCAGATTGTCTTTTATTCAAAGATATATGTTGATATTATTGGCAAAGGTTTATTAAATTAATCTGTACAAATTATATAATTATTGAGAGTTTAATTTGGGCCTACTAACTAGAGGTCGGGCCCTTCCAATGTTTTACAAAAACTAACTCTCCCGCACAATCCGCCTATAATTTAAAATATATACCAGCCCTTCCGAAAGTTAATCAAAAATTATTTACCCTCCCGGTCACCCATTAGTCTATCCCTTTCCCCATAATTTATAAAATATTTTTAACCCACGCCATTCCATATAAAATACAAATACGCCCATTCTTTAAATTTTTTTAAGCATCTAATAAAAAAAATGAATTAGTTTCAGCGTTACACCCAATTTAGTATTACCATGATAAGCATAAATTAAAATATTCAATTTAAATTACGGATAAGGAATTTATTTAAATAAGATATATAATAAAACAATATAAATATAAAATTAATGTTTATTGATATTATCTGCAGTTATAATGCAAAAATAAATCCACATTTTCTGGATTTATACACGTTCTTTGTTCTAAAAACTTTCCACCAATGCGAAATCTCCTTTAAGAAGATATATTAGTTCCAATAATTTCCAATATTTTTTTTAGCTAATCTGGATAACGTTGATAACAAAGTAGGATATCCGTTTGAAATATAACCTTTTCCTCAAATGAGAATTTTAAATAAAAAAAATAATTCCATTAATAATAAATAATAAAAAGCAATTTAAATTATAAATTTATTGTTTATAAATTGTAAACTATACTAAGTACACTGAAATCTTGTTAAATTATAAAATTCAAACTCGTTACTTTAAGATTTTAATATTTTGTTAAATCATTAGGTACAATGCTCTTCTCTACCAAGGGTCTATATGACAGAATTTTTACTGGATGGAAACTCCCCTCAAAAACCTATGCCTATTTTCCTAAAATTGGCTCGCGTTCAAATATTGAGCCGTTCTCCTGCTCACGCTCTCGACTGAGCCAAATTATCGGCTCGCACTCTAAGGTTTAGATAATTTTTTGACTCGCTCTTCAAAGTTGAGCCAATTCTTTTGACTCAGGATTGAGTAATGGAGCGATTTTGCCATTGCGTGGTACAATATTCAAAAAATAAATAACTCTTAACGTTATTTCTTTATTTAACTTAAAATATATATCGCAGCTAATGGTTAAACATTTAATTTAAAATAAAACAATTTTAAGTATATATTTTTTTTATTTTAAAACTAAGTCGTTTCAATCATAAATAATTTTCTTTCTTTCTTTCAATATCATTTTCAATGTAAAATTATTCTATTATGGATTTTTAAATAACACAACATCATATAAGGTTTATATTAAAATTACATAATAATAAATTTTAAAGTTAATGTTAAGTTAAAATTAAATTTTCCTAAGGCTAAAACAAATTTACTCTATAATTTAAGAAGGTTTAAAATAAAAATAACAATGTGTTAACAAATATAGGCATCATGTTAAACAAAGTAGAATAAAAATCATTCATTGCAATAAATAATTAATTTCTTCTTAAACTTGTATAATTTTTATATACGAATAATTTTATCTTTAATTCATCACCATTTACTCTTTGATTAATATTTTTTTTTACAAATTCGATTGAATAATGATAATTAATTATGTTTTCCGCGAGATAAAATATATTATTTTAAAAACATGGCTGATTCAGAAGAAGAATTTGAACGAAGACGAAGAGATAAATTTCGTAGAGAAAGAAATGATTATCAGGATAGAAGAGAACCCAGAAATCGAGGAGAAGAATGGGAAGAAAGGTGATTATATTACTATTTTTTCTCATCAAATTTTTAACAGGCCTCGTGAAAATTGGAGAGGTGGAAGAATAAGGAAGGAATCAAATAGAGGTGATTATGAAAGAAGAAAACGTTATGGCGATAGAGAATATTCGCCTCATGGTCCAGCACAAATGAAAAGAGTTCGAAGAGACTGGTAATTACTTTGAAATTGTAAAAAAATAAATTTAATTAAAAGGGATGATACATATTATCCAAACACTGGACCTAATATTAATTACCATCACCCTGGTAATCATCCACCTTATTCTAATTGGCATGATTATCAGTTGCCCCCAACACTTCCTCCCATGCCTATTCCCACAGCTATGGTCCACAGGTATATTATATAAATTTTTAATTGTATATATCATGAAAAATAGGGAAGCAAATGAAAGTGGAGCATCTTTATTAAATTTTAAGCAATTTTTATTACAACAGGAAGATACAATTGATGTTGAAGAAGCTGTTAAAAAATATAAAGAATATAAAATTGAATTTCAAAAACATGCTATTAATGAATTTTTTAATGCACACAAATTAGAAGAGTGGTAATTACATTAAATTTATGTTTTTTATAAGATATGGTGGAATATATTTATATTTTTAAATACTTCACCAGGTGATAAAATCATGGTCCCTCAGTTTTCTAAAAAAATTACCAGAACATTTAATTATTTTACATTTTTGTTTGTTATATAATATTGTTATTATTTAATGCTCTTTCCTCTTTATTATAGAGGCAGAGTATATTAAAAAATAATAATTTGATTATTTTATATAAATCATTCTTCAATAAATATGGTAAGAAAAAATTGTAATTATATAAAAAATATAATTTGAATATACTAATAGTATGCTAAATATATTGTTGCATGAGCATTTATTTGTTATGCCACAATTTTTAAAGCTTGTTAGTAATAACTTTTAATATATTATATTTATATCAGAGACCTGCAGTGGCAAAAATTTCACTCGATTTGAAAAAAAAATTTCTAGCTCAGCCCAATTTTTTTTGGCCTTGCCATGATTTTTGAACATTTTTTTGGCTTAATAGTGTGACCTTTGAGTGAACACAAACAATGCAATGGTATTGTGCAAATTGATCACAATTAATAAAAATGTAAACTTGTTTTCTTTTTTTTTTGAAAAGAGTTTTGACTGTACAAATTGTTTCAAAAAAGAATTGTAAATATGAGCAGTAACTGAATTTTAAATGCTCTTTTATGATTTTCCAAATGATTAATTGATATAATTTAAAAAATAAATAAATAAGCTGGTCTTGGTTTTTAAATTTTCAAATTTTTTAGGCCCAGTCTTAATTTTTTAGATCATACCATTTTTGGGCTGAGTTTACACATTTCTGATTTGTATATAAAATTCTATTATATATTAGAGTGGAACTGACCTCTTAGGCCTACTAATTATTTTATAAGTTTGTTTGCACTAAATAAATTTATATTTTAGCAATATGATTACCTAACCTTATAATTTTTATATTTCTTTAAAATTATAAAATACATATGGATAAGATAAAAGTGAATTATTCTGACATATTTCTATCCTAAGGTTTTTTATTCCTTTTAACCTAAAAATGAAGGCTTGCACATATATGATTATTGAAACCAACAGGATATATTTACATAATCTTAAAAATTCTTTACAATGTTTTTTCAAAATTGATCAATATTAGAAAATTGGGAATTTCATTTATATTCTTTTTGAAATTCTCAACCCTGAATACTACTTTTAATTTGCTTTCTAACTTCTTTAAAATAAATAAAACTTATTCAATTTTCCAATTTTTTTATATAAAACGAATTTGATAAGCAATTTTATAATTATTTATTAAGCTTTTTTTCTAACAAAAATTCTCTATGTTCATATATTTCTTAATTAATATTTAAAAAATATACTTCATGATAAATATATTTTCATTATTAATTATTATAGTTTATAAAAAATATTTATAATACCAACTAATTTTATTTTATGCTTAAAATGCAGAATTTTATATTAGGGTCATTCCATACCAAATAGGTAAAAAAATTGATATTTTTAACTAACCCCATACTTGTTAAAAATTTGTGGGCATATCATATATCTAGTTAAATTTTTATAACAAAATTTTAGTTCATTGAAAATAGTAGTAGGAAAAAAAATGGAGCACCTAGTCAATTTTATTTTAAACTGGACATAAGGCAACCATATATAATTCATTTTTGTTTATTTTCCTAATTATCAATCATTGAGTTACTTATTGATTTAGTTTTTGCAACAAAGTTAAAAAGGTCAAATTTTATACCTTTAATCCCCATTATCTCAAATAATCTAATTGCTAATAGGCCTATTCAAAAAGATTTGAATATTCGATTCAATTCAAATTGAATAATTATGAAATCAAATGCGAATAATTATTTATTCGATCCGAATAAAATGAATTATTCGGAATATTTAATAAACCTTTTAATAAATCGAATGTTTGTCATTTCTATTTTATGACCTTCAAATCTGACAGGTGGTGTTTATAAAAAGACTAGCACAAATTTAAAAAATCTGAAGAGAGTGTTGAAGCAATATTTAAATTTTTATTTGTTTTTGAATCTGAGAAGTTTATTTTTTGAATCTCATAATAAATTATATTAAAAAATTACACAAACCAAAGTTATATAAAAATATAATAATCTTACAATAAATTATGATTAGTAGATTAATTATGTTAGAGGAGAATGCTTCTGATAAAATAGTTATGCTTGATGTTGAAATTGACAAAATTTTCCACAAAAAGAGTGACTATATGGGATCAATATCAAATCAATTAACAGGATGAATCATTGCAAGAGCATTATAAAATGTAAAGGCAAAACAACATCTCCTATTATTTATCATTATGATAGGTTTGGTTTCATTCACCCCTAGGGATTACCTATCTATAAAAGGAACATCAACTTCTAGTTGGAACTAATTTGTTGTCAAAAAATTGCATGCCATATAAGGAAGAAAATATAAGAAAAACTCTGCCTTAAAAATTGGCTTAGAATCATGAATTAAATTAATAATATACATTTTAATTTTGTTTATAACTTGTACATATTTTTTATCATCAGGTTATTAATTACATATTTTTTATTATCAGATTATTAATAATATACATTTTAATTTTGTTTATAACTTGTACATATTTTTTATCATCAGGTTATTAATTACATATTTTTTATTATCAGATTATTAATAATTTTTTCTGTTTGAAATCAAATTAGCAATAAAAAAATTTGTCAATATACTTGTGTATGATATATTTTATTAAGAAAATTCATATCAATTATTCGAATAACTCAAATCGAATACAAATAGTAGATTTTATTATTCGTACAAATATGAATAGTAAATTATTCGATTCATTTAAACGAATTAAATATGAATAAAGCACTATTCGATTCAAATTCGTTTTGATTAGGCCTAATTTCTAACAAGTTAAAATTTTGTTTTTTATCTAACTAAAACACATGCAAGTTTCCAAATTTTTTATTGAATATGAAAAAGATAAGTTATATGGTGTTTGATTTGTTATCAAATGACTTCTTAACAGAGTTAGATATTAACATTGTATTTGGTATTCACCCTCTACCCTCTTCCTTTTATAAAAAAAATATGAATATTTTTTTACAGATTCTAATAACTGAGATTATTTACTAATTTTACCAAATTTAATTATTATTAAATAAAGTTTATCCAACTTCATTTATAATAATTAATTATTGGTACAAAACAAATACTCAAGTGACAATATATTTTATCTCAATAAATTGTGAAAGTTCTTTTATTGTGAGGAAAACAAGTATATATGAATAAACTTCATTGAATATGTGATTGTTATCTTTTAGAAATATGTTTTTATTTATTTTCCCAATAGAATATATGTATTAATATCATGAGGTAGGAAATAAAATTAATTATTTATTTTACAAAAATAAAAGGTTTAAAAATAAATATCACCCTGAAGATAAAATAAATGTTAAGCAAGACAAAGAAGAAAAAGTGAAAAATAGACTTAAAATTTTTATGGAATTTTATGAAAATGGATGGGTTGATAAGATATCTTTAAATCAAAGTCAACTAAAAGAAATAATTAAATTTATGGATGCAGGTAACAATCATTTTAAATAAAAATAAATTTAATTATTGAAATTTTGATGTATTTTTTTGTAAAAATATAATTTCTATATTTTTGGCAGGGGAAGGGGTCCAATTTTTATTGTTGACAATTGATATGTATAGGTAAAGAAATCTTATCATTAAATATATCGTATTTAAAACAATATTTTATAATATTCAAAATTTATTTGAATATATCTTATATATTAAAAACAATAAATACAAGATTACCCTTGTTATTATTGTTGTAGTTTTGTATTATTATGATATATATTTATATATATATATTATAAAATGTCAATCAAAAAGAATATATTTTATTTATTAGTTATTTTATCGAGAATTGATATTCAAACACTTGGTATTTTTTTGTTTACTTTTTTACTTTTGACTTTTGATAAATATATTATACGAGATTAATTTTGATGGTTTTATAAAAAAATGAAAAAAAACTTTATGAGATGAAAATAATTTAATTTGATGTTTGATTTTTTTTTTTAATTTATATTTCTTTATTTCTATTCAAATCACAAAATTTCCAAAGTCAAACATCAAATTAAATTATATTTTTTTTATAAAACCATCAAAATTAATCTCGTATAATTTTTTTTATTTTTAATTTCTATTTCTTTATTTCTATTCAAATCTTAAAATTTCCAAAGTCAAACATCAAATTAAATTATTTTCATCTCATAAAGTTTTTTTTCATTTTTTTTATAAAACCATCAAAATTAATCTCGTATAATATATTTATCAAAAGTCAAAAGTAAAAAAGTAAACAAAAAAATACCAAGTGTTTGAATATCAATTCTCGATAAAATAACTAATAAATAAAATATATTCTTTTTGATTGACATTTTATAATATATATATATAAATATATATCATAATAATACAAAACTACAACACGCCCACCCTTCATAGGCCACGTGTTCCATTATCCCTAAATAAAATTTCGTATATTCGTTTCATTTTCATAATCTCCAAATCTTCATTTATTTGATATCCTTCCTTCATAATCTTCAAGCCTTTCATTTGTGTCATAGCTCTTGGTCAACAATTATATAGACCTTTTTTTGAATTTTATTAATATCCCCTTTAAAATAAAATCAATCAAGTAATCATAAAACTAGAAGGAGGAACAGATTCAGATCTTAAATATCTTGAGGAAGAATATGCATCAGCCATTGTGTTACCAGAGGAAATCAATATTTTAGATCATAATTTGAATTCTAAACAACTTGCAAACAATTCAACAAATAATCATATATCTAATTTAACTATAAATGGGTGTAATGATATTGGGGATGATGATATGGAAGATATTGACAGGCTAGATTTTGAAATTGAAGGCGAGCAGCAACCACTAGGTGAAGGGGTGGTGGTTAAGACTGGGAATGATAAAAGGTTACATTTAATTTTATGTGTTAGTAAATCTAAAAATATTTGTATACAATAAAACACAGGGATACTTGTATATGTTAGCTTTACTAAGCAATAATTAGGGCTGTGCCTATATTTTTGCCAATATTAAAATGATATGGTCATAAATGTGCGTATCTCGGAATTGCTACAAGATAAGCAATAAATTTTTAATGTATAAATCTTGTAATGTTAGTAAAACTTTAAAATAATTTATCAAACAAAAATATTTTAAGAAAAGTCAGCATCGGAAAATGAAATGAACCTATGTTGTGGATCGGTTTTTAACAATTTTTTGCCAATCCAATCCAAAACAAATTGTTGATCAGCCAATTCTGATGCCTTCTTATAATACTTTTGTTTATAGCAAGTTTTAATGTTATATCAATATTCCAAGCTGTTTATGCATAAAAAATTAGCTACCATGCTAATTCTAAGATATACACATTTATAAACAGGTCATTTTAATATTGGTAAAAATATTGGCACAGCCCTATAAATATTTGATATAGGTAATTCCATGTCAAATGAGCAAAAAATGAGATTTTCGGCCGACCCCCTTCGATTTTTTTAAAATTTGGTAAGGAAAGAAAGGTTAGTGTATTTAAGAAATAGCCAAAATTTTAGCCTTGTAACATTTATATTCTTAGAGATATTAGGGTTCAAAGTGGCAAAAATGACTTATTTTTACCATTATCTGCCTTTTCAATTAAGCCTATCTTAAAAACTACATAATTGTAAATAACAAATTTAATATCAAAATTATGTACAAAGATTCTACTTTTAGATAAAAAAATTTTTTTTCCCAATTTCCGGCCATTTTATTTAATATATAAGGACTAAATACGATTTTTGTTAATTTTTTTAATTGGATTTCAATCTGGGTTCTTAACAACACTAACTACACTATTTTAAGCAAGTTTTATATCATTATAAACAAATTTTAAATTCTTGATTAATATTTTATTTCTAATTTATGAAGATTTTAATTTTATGGCTTTTGCAGTTCCTATCATGTTTTTAAGCTTACTATATACAAAGTCAAAAAAAGAGCTCATAAAATTGGAAAATCAATAAAATATAATCCAAATTAACTAGATAATTTTAAACTTGACAAAGTGGTTTCTACTAATTAACTCATTTTTTAATCAATTTTTTGTAGTTTTTGTTCAGTGACCAAATTTTTCAAAAATCTGTTTATAATAGCCAACTATACCATTTATATTATTCTTTGAACCATCAAGGTTTTGCAATTTTGCTTAAAATCGCAAAAAAATTTATATAAATTATTTTAACTTTCTTTAATATTAAATTTTAGAAATGATGTTACAAGCAAAAATGATATGGATAAGGTAATATTATACATATTTATTTAATTGTATTATAAAATGACAACTTAATATTGCATAGGAAAAGGTACATGGAAAGGGTACTAAATCTCACAAAAATAAGACAAAGGTACATTACTATATATATAAAATAAATTTGTATTTCTAGTTTGTTGAAGAGAAAAATTTTAGTTAGTAGTTGAGAGCTAGAAATATTTTATTCAACTTAATTCAGAAGAAATAATGAATTTATTTTGCAAAAAATAGATATAAAAACATAATTTATAATATAAATATATTTAAGTTCAACTTACTATTTTTTAGGGTTGGCAGTAAATCTAATTGTTTTAAATCATCCCGATTTAAAAAAAATATGATTTTATATAATTTTACTTAATTATATAGCTTTGTCGTGATTAAATTTCTGATTTTCTTAAAATAAAAATCAAGATTTAAATATATTTTTTTTGTTTTAAGTTCAATAATTTACCTCAATTTGCGATATTTTGGATAAACGTTTTAATTATTTGCTAAATTTTATTATAAATTAGGGCTGTGCCGATATTAAATATGTAATCGGCACCTACGTTTCAAAAAATATAGGATTCGATATTTTAAAAAAAACCGATACAATAATAATATTATTTGGTTATTTAATGATTGTATATTTTTTTTAAAGCTTATTCATTTATTAAATTTTCAATTTCACATAATCCCATAATTTAAAAAAAACTATTAAAATTTATATAATAAAAAAAATATTGAAAATATATGAAAAAAAAATTGTATATAAAAACATTTAAAAATAGGAACAAGTCCTAGAAAGGAGTGAATGCTTTTTGAAATTCAGCACATTTCGAGAGAAATCTGTTGGCCAACAAGTAGAATTATTTGGGGTCACCTGAAATAAGTCTCCTTTTTTGCCTATGGCCTTGATAAGATTGATAGCCTCCTTTCTGAATACATAGGATGTTAGTGACTATTGGCAAAAACTGTTCGTGAGGCCAGCATATATTTTTTAAACTACTTTCGATGGCAGGAAATGAGAGAAAATTCACAGCAAAATTAATGCACATATAATCCCAGATCAGTAGGAGACCGTTTATCTAGGGGATATGGCATATGCGACGTAAAGATATGAATCTTTTTGAGAGCAGCTAGAATAATCTTTTAATGGATTTATGACATGGTTTACGTCTGAGGAAGAACTTGCAGTGCAAAGGATGGGAGGCCTTCGATTCGATTTGCTGGCCACAATCGACACAAATGGAGGGTACATTACATTGCAACCAAGACGAAATGCTATTGATATGTGTAGTTGTCCATATGAGGAGGCCGAGATTGGAACTAGGGATGGCTTTCAACCCCTAGCATGCATTTAGTGTTATGTTATTTAGGTTTTCCTCTAAGTGCTCATTCTAAATGAGGTATTCAACGAAACTGACCATCAAAGGAGCATCCCAATTTATTTTGAATGCTAGAGGCTGGATAGCTATTCCAAAAGGTAAGGGCCGGATATAGGTGAGGATCTATAAAAGTGGCGAGACGGTTGAGGATATATCGAACGTCTAAATGTGATGAAATAAAGGCTCAAAGATAAAGTTGTAGTGGCATGATTTAATTTTTTTGTTACAAGATATTTAAAAATTTCAAACAATGGACATTTAACAAACTTATTTATTAAAAACTAAACTTGAAAAATTATTTGAAATATATTTCCGAAAGTATTATAAATCAACAGTTTTCTGTAGTCCAAGCTAGACGCTTAATGAGCAAAATATAGCAGCTGTATCTACCAAGTCGAAGATATTTCTCAGAGGTGATAATACCTAATGTTTATGATGAATTGTCAAAAATGTTAAAAAAAATAAAATGACTAATATCTAAGAGCTGAGGTTCTCGTAAACTCTATATTAACCTTTTTTTATTTATTATTTTTTTACCTCTATTCATGCAAAATAATTAAGATAAGGATAAAATGAAAACTATAAGTAAAATCGGTATTTATTCTATTCATTTTTAAGTATCGATTACGGATAATTTATTATTCGATTCGTTTTTAAATTAGCCTAGCTTGTAGTTAACTACTACAAAGGTAAAGTTCAGACACATTACTATGCCAGAAAAATAGTAGTAGATATTTTTTATTTTGTTCCAGGTTTTGATTCATTACATCATCATTCAGAGAAATAGAGGAGGCAATTTTAAAAAGTTTATATTTTTCCCATATTTTAATATTACCAATTTATAATCTTATGAAAATATATTTCATCTTATATCAGCAATTTATATAATCCACGAATATTGTAGAGGTATATTTTATTGTGCAATTTTAAAAAGTAGTTAAACCATCTTTTATGGAATTCGTTTGGAGAGGGAGGTGGTAAAGGAAGGCAAAAATTTAATAAGAAACAAAGCGAAAATCATTTGAGGACTGGGAGAGGCGATTTTCAAAATTATATGTTATTGAGGTCTGGAATTATTTCGGGTCAGTAGCTTAGGGATTACAGGGACCACTATCAGTTGGGTGTGATAAGTAGTTATCTAAAAGTTAAAGACTATTATACGGGATATCGTGAAATACTACCCAAAAAATAACCAATTTGGAAATTTATTACCTCCCCCCAAAAACTTGGTCGGAATGAGCAAGATAACCTAAAATATCTGTGGGAAAGAATCAAAAATCTATTAAGTCAATAATTGAATTAATATCTAAAGCTTAAAATTGATTGAGCAAGAAAATCTTGTTCTTCAAACAATTTGCTCTTTACCCATTATTATTTTTCAAAAAATTTCTTTAGAAATCCTGCTGCTCCTCTATCTCTAGAAGTTCTTCATGCTGTTCTGGATCCTCTAGGTCTTCCAGAAGTGGATCATCTTCAGGCTCTTCCTCCCGGTCAGGATCTAGCTCTTCCAGTGGCCATTCAAGTGCCAATTCCAAAAGTTTTAAATCTTTATTAGAAATCATATATGTATCTGGGTCATTTCCATGTCAAATCAATCACTTTACAACCCGACCATCTCAGATTTTGTTAAAATTTATATTTAAGTTAATAAAGTATTGTAATTGACGAATCCAAAATATTAGATTCTTAACTCTATCAGAACCGGAGATATAGGGCTTCAAAGTGGCTCAGCTTGGTCATTTTTCGAAAAAAATGATTTTTTAAAATTAGGATAACTTTTATATTAGATGTACTATATATATCTATTATAGCTCATTTTATAGCCCTAAGTAAACTCTTGAACATATGTTAAATAAAATTATTTTTTAATTTATATATTTTTTTAAAATTGCGGTTAAAAATTTGTAATTAATTTTTCAAAATGTTAGACTAATTTTTTTTACAAATTTCAGATATTTTGTAAAGAGTACCAAGAACTGTTCATATAAAAAATTTCAGAATAAGGCCATAAAAATTAATTAGGAAAAATCTCATTTAAATCCGCTAGATGGCGTAAGTAGTTTAAAATATTAATTTTATCAATATAAGTTAATCTAAGAAATTTTTTTATTCCATAATAAAATATTATTGAATAATTAATAGTAAGCTTAATATTTAAAATAATTTTAATTAAATTTCTATATTGCCATTTTAGATTCATCATTAGTTAAAGTATAAGTTCTTCCTGTGGATATGGCAACATAACTTATATGATTTATTACATTATTTACTTTATAATATATACCAAATGGATGTAGGTAACCTGGGAAAAGGCCCAGTGATAACCTTGGACTTCATCTTGAAGTATAAAAGAGTTCAGAAAAATCATCAGATAACCAAATAAATAATGATCATATTCTAAATTGTTTTTAAGATTCTGATGGAATCTATTTAGCTGTTCAGTAATAAAACCACTGCGAATCAAAATAAATATTTTTTGAAATAAGTAATTAAGAAATTCGTCAGCTGTTTATGTAAGAGTCTCTAGACTGTTCTATCTATAGATATCCATTGCTTGAACGTTATCCTGTATATATCATGTGCAATTAATAAATTTTCTAATTTATCTTATGCTTAGTTCCCAGGACATTCATGACATTCGCTAAAATAACAGGCTGGCAGGGGAGGATTGCTGGAATTATGTCCTTGTAAGTCTATCTCAAAATCCATATTTTTTGTTAAAGTTGCTAGATTGCTATCTATTTTTAGCAACTTAACATTCTGATGGATTAGCAGACACAAACCAAGTGAGTGTCACTTGAACCTGGTATTATGCAATTTTTAGAGTGCAATGAGGCCAATTTTAAAAACCCGATTTTAAGAGAAGAGTAGATAGCTTTAAAATTTATATAGATTTCTTTTAAATTATTCAGAATTAACCGTTTTTGAACATTATTCCTTTCATCATTTTCAATTATAGAAAGGCAATATTTTTCCGGGCAGTAATCTACTATATTCATCGTTTAAATAGAAACTTAACGTCAACTATGCTCTGATTTATGGTTTTAACCTGCCTTGGGATTAGAAGTTGAAAGAACCTCCTTTTGACCAAGAAGGAATTTTGAATTACGGATCATATAAAACGAAGCGTTAAATTGTTTTTTAATTTTGTGAATGCTTCAATTTGGAGGTAATGTCGTTAATAATTGATATTTTTGGTTTTAGACAATAATGGATAATTATTTTTTATATAAATTATCAAATCGTTGCTGCCATTTGTATTCATCTTTGGTTGAAGAATTTTGCCAAAAGCTTTTGAAAGTCTGCTGAGCTTTTTCTTGAGATATCCCTTTTCTCTTAGTCTCTTTTTTTATTGGAGAATGTCTTATTTAATTTAAAGTAGAATTTAAGGATTCTAAAAAAATTGTAGGGAGTTACACATTGTCGTTATTAATTGGATAATCATTTTCTATATCGGTGGAGGTTTAAGAAATTATTTGAAGTTGTAGGGATGTTGCTATCCTCTAAAATTGTAATACTATTCTTCTTTTTATATAAAAATTTGCGACACTTAGGACAAATATATTCTCCTTTGTTAATATTATGATTGTTATCTAAATCGTCACTTTTCTTAAACCTTTTTTGGAATAGTGATTTGGAAGATTCAATGGATTTGTATAAAATATATTAATAAATTAATTAATTTTAAAAATTACAAATTTTAGGAAGTAACATATATAAAAATTTATATTGGAAAAAATTATTCGAAAAATCGATAATTTATTAATTGCTTACTTAATAAATTTTATTATCTATAAATTAAATTCAAGGAAATTTAATTAAAATTATTTTAAATATTATGCTCACTATTAATAATTCGATAAATATTTTATTATGGAATAAAAAAAATTTCTTAGATTGACTTATATTGTTAAAATCAGGGTTTAACATTTGCTCAAAATTCAAAAATCTTCACAGATCGTTGCTCTTTTGAAGATCAAAAAATGTGAAGATTTTTTCGCTAAAAAAAATTTTGAGCTTGCTCAAAGAAGATTTTTGAGCAAAATAAAAAATATTTTTTGTAAAAAAATCTTCTATAATTTTGAGAAAATATTTTGAGAATTTTATAATAAAATAAATTCTTTAAGGAAATCTTTATTAAAATATTTTTGAAATTTTGATCTTAAAATTTTTTGGTAAATTCTTTAAAAATAAAATTTTTGATATATATTTTTTTTTATTTTATTATGTTAATGAAAATATTTTTTTTGAATAGGTTGTAAATGTGAGAATTGGTCATAATACCGACTGCATTTTTTTTAATATTTGGAATAAGTAATAATGATTATTTTAAAAATGTAATGTCATAATTTTAATGTTTTATATTTAATGTAAACTATAAAAGTGACAATTCTCATAATACTCATCTCAGAACCTTTAAAAATAATTATAATTAAAAAAGGCTAGTTGAGCATGTTTTGAGATGGTTTCAGTGATTGTAAAGCATATAAAGGTGACAATTGTCATAATACTTATTTCACATATGTTTTAATTGGAAATAGAGAAAAATGATTATTTCAAACATGAATTAATATAATGTGTAAACTATAAAAGTGACAATTGTCATAATATTCATAACAGAACCTATAAAAATAATTTTATTTTTAGGTATTAAATAGGCGAGAAAAAATTTTTTGAGCATGTTTCGAGATGGTTTTAATGATTGTAAAAATTGTCACAATCGTTATTTTTGAACTTTTTTAAAGCAAGTAGATAAAAATTTATTAAATATAAAATTAAATGTGGATGTACCATAGAGCAGTGACAATTGTCATAATCGTTATTTTTGAACTTTTTTGAAGCAACAGAGTAAAATAATAAATTGTAAACATGTTAAATTGAAATTTAAATGTGGATGTACCATAGAAAAGTGACAATTGTCATAATCGTTATTTTTAATCTTTTTTGAATTTTTTTTAAGCCAAAGGGTAAAATTATATATTGTAAACATGTTAAATTAAAATTTCAGTGGAGATCTACCATAGAAAAGTGACAATTATCATATTTTATTTAATTTTTTTGAACTTAAAGGGTAAAATAATAAATTGTACACATGTTAAATTAAAATTTCAGTGAATATGTACCATAGATAAGTGACATATCTAATTCTCAACTCCCTTTTGAAATTATTTTAATATATATATTTTGAAATTATCACATTACTCATAGTCATATCCATTATTTTTAAATTAGGTTAATATGATCTTGTTGGGAAACACTTAAACCTCTGGGCAGATGATAATAGTATCATATATGTTAAATTTTTAGAGCCAACCGGAACGGAGTTGAACTAGAAAGATGCATCAATATAAACATGATATTTTTGGGAACAACAAATTTAAAAATATTTTTTCTATAATCTTTTAAATCAATTTTAGATCTTAGAAACTACTATTTGGATATATCTAGTAAAATACGCCCCCCTCTGATTATACTATTCATACAAAAAATCTAAATCAGTCATATATATGAATTTTTATTTATTAAAATTTCAATGTAAACAATAACTTTATAATGAAATAGGTTATATAAATAATTATTTAAAATATCACATTATTTAACAATGTACGATTAAGCTTTATAATTAAAATATCATCAAGTTTTTCTTTGTCTAATCTTGTCCTTAGAGAGGTTACAGTTAGTGCCAATGCACTAAATGCTCTCTCAGCTGAGACCTGGGTGCAAGGAGCAGCAAGAATTATTTGAGATAATTTAAATAATTCTGCATCTTGGTGTTTTCTTTAAACCCAATATTGCAAAATATCTTGTGAGGATGGCAATCTTTTGTTGTATAATAACGATTTTATTTTTAGCTTGATATCGCTATTACATAATTCATAAAATATAGGTCCCTTCTTGCAATCACGCTCAATGTAAAGGTCAAGTTTTGTTTTTTTATAATCACTAGTGGAAGGCATAACTAGAGTTGTATTTTCTTCATGAGGGTCAATAGCTTGCAATTGTTTCCAAGTTGCAAATATATGTTCCTAAAATAAAAAGATGTATATTATAAATTTATTAATTTACCCTGGCCAATATTTTATCTTCTTCCAAAGGATATTTTCCATTTTCATAATGGAATCTAGGATCCATATATATCGCACTACGAAATGCGTCATTTTGAAAAAGATAGCTTTCTCTAATGTTTAAACATTCCAACATACTTTTAGATAAATTATTATCCATTTCCTCCAGCTCCATTTTGCATTCTAGCCATGAAGCAAAAAAATCACCTATTACAATATTACTTTTTTGTAATTTCATTGTGAATTTGTATAATGGGAAAAGGACTGATTACATGTACCTAATAGGATAATATCCCATAAATCGAAACTAATAAAAGTTTCTGGGTATAATTCACCCATTTTAGTATAAAAGGTTTTATTATCCATTAGATTTTTCATCATTAGATAAGTACTATTCCACCTAGTAACAGTATCTAGCGTGGGTTTCGAAACTTTGTCCATTATAAATAATCTTTTATATTTGTGAGATTTTATCAATTTAATTATAACACGAATTTTCTCTAAGTCTAGTTTTAAATATTTTTTGATAAACATGTTTACAGCAAGTTGTATAGTATGTGCAGAACATCTAATGCAACTTAAGCCAAAGCTTTTGCTTATATCATCTGATATATTTTCCTCGTCAATACCCTCTGGTGTTTCTTCATCAGAATAAACGGAGACATTTTCATCATCAATACATACATTTTCCTGATAACTTACACTTGTATTAAATAATATCTGGCTTAAATTGTTTTCATTAGAATTAGATAGATCATTATCATTATTTAATTGATCTCTAGCCATAGTGTCAACCATTTTAAGCATATTGGCGCCGTTATCCACAGTAATGCTATATATTTTTAAATCTATCTGGTATTTTTTTAAAATTGTTTGGATTTCTTCTTTTAGGTTTACACCTGTATGAATTTTTATTAGTACTATCATTCCTAGTGTTCATACTTGTATCTGGCCATTTTTTATATACTGAACATTAATACCTAATATTGATTTATTATATCTAGTAGCTGTATCAATTTTTAAAGAAATTAGCTTGTTTTTTAATTCATGTATAATTTGAAGTCTAATTTCGGATGCGGTATATTTTATTTTGTCGACCACTGACCGAGTATTTATTTTCATTTGAAGAGAATGACATATAGGGTCTAGTAAAATACGGAAACCCTCATAATTTACTAAATTTATGGGTAAATTATGGACTGTAATCAACCATACTATACATTCAAAAACCTAAAAAATAATTATTTATTCTTTATTTAAATATTAATTACTTTAGATTTATCGATCTTAATTTTTGGGAATTTTTCTTTTGCTGTATTTCTAGCATTGAAGGACGAATCACTATTAGATTCATCTGCTTTCATTAATGTGTCTTTTAAGATTTGCTAGAAAAATATATTGAAAAATACATTAAATAATTTATTTTACATGGTATTACTTCATCTTTTTGTCACACATGCTGCACGTCGCTAAATTTTCAGAAGAATCGATTAAAAAATGCTCCTTTAGAATATCTTTGAGATTTTTTTTATTTTGCATTATATATAAAAAAAAATTTTGTAATTTTTAATTTTAACTTTCTTGTTTTTTCCTTTTATTTTTATTTTCACTTGTTTATTATATTTTGAAATAAAAAATCAGGAATTAATGTTATATAAAATAAAAAAATGAATAAAATAATTGTTTTATTGAGGCCAAATAAAACCCCCATTTATAAATTTGGATGGGATACATTTATTTAATGTTTTTTTTATTTATATTTATAAAAAATCAAATGTTAAATGAAGATATAAAAAATGCATTTTCTTTTCTTTTCGTTTTTCCCATTGTCTCTCTCTCTCCCTCCTTTATTTATTTTTATTTAATGTTTTGCCTTATGAATTAAAGAAAATAAAAATCTCAAAAAAATGAAATTTGCTGGTGCCAGCGAGGCGGCACCAGATTGAAAAAAAGTATTATATAATTTTTTTTTATAAAATTGAATTCAAATTTTTTTTTAATTTTCATTGCTGTAATGGTACCCAAAACCGATACGTTTTCCCCCTTGAAGGAGGGAGTGACGGATGGCCTCTTATTCTGTTTATGGCTATTGCAATTTTTTCCTGACTCCAATTGCTATATTTCTTTTGTGGTTTATGATAGGTATCAGAGTTTATTGTAGAAAAATTTATTTGATTGGGTTAAGAATTATTTGTTATACCAAATAAAACTGAATTTGAAATCTTTTGAGAATAAGATGGTTCTTCCTGTGAGGAAAAATCTAAAAGATTATATTTAATAAACAATATAATGTTAATTGGTACCAACATGTAGATGTAGAAAGATTTAAGAGACCTGGAGATAGTGACTATTTTACTAATTTTGTAATTTTTAATATCTTAAAAAATGGGAATTTTATTTCCTGGGAATTATATTCACAGATTCTTTTTAATGTTTACCTAATAGATTTTAAATAATAAACTAAAGTTAAAATTTTTTAACCCGCTAATTGTTAAAATTTTGTAACCGATTCGCTCGCACTTTTTAAAATTATTAAGCTAGGCCGCCCATGGACGGGCTTCAGCTAAAAACCTGCTCGTTTCAGCAAATAAATTCTAAAATGATCATAATGATTATGACAATTATCATTTTTCTATGGTACATCCTCATTTAAATTTTAATTTAACATGTTTACAATATATAATTTTATATTTTTGCTTCAAAATAATTCAAAAAAGATTAAAAATAACGATTATGACAATTGTCATCTCCACTGAAATTTTAATTTAACATGTTTACAATATATAATTTTACCCTTTAGCTTAAAAAAAATTCAAAAAAGATTAAAATAAACGTTTATGACAATTGTCACATTTCTATAGTACATCCTCATTTTAATTTTACATGTTTATAATTTATTATTTTACACTTTTGCTTCAAAAAAATTCCAAAAAGATTAAAAATGGCCATTATGACAATTGTCACTTATCTATGGTACATCCACATTTAAATTTAACAAGTTTACAATTTATTATTTTACCCTGTAAGTTCAAAAAAATTTAAAAAAGATTAAAAATGACGATTAAGACAATTTTACTTTTCTATGGTAGATCTTCAGTGAAATTTTAATTTAATAAGTTTACAATATATAATTTCTTCAAAAAAAATCAAAAAAGATTAAAAATAACGATTATGACAATTGTCACTTTTCTATGGTACATATTCACTGAAATTTTAATTTAACAGGTTTACAATATATATTTTTACCTATTTGCTTTAAAAAAATTCAAAAAAGTTCAAAGATAACAATTATGATAATTGTCACATTTCTATGGTACATCTTCACTGAAATTTTTATTTAACATGTTTACAATATATAATTTTACCCTTTTGCTTCAAAAAAGATTAAAAATAACGATTATGACAATTGTCACTTTTCTATGGTACATCCACATTTAAATTTCAATTTAACATGTTTACAATTTATTATTTTACTCTGTTGCTTCAAAAAAGTTCAAAAATAACGATTATGACAATTGTCACTGCTCTATGGTACATCCACATTTAATTTTATATTTAATAAATTTTTATCTACTTGCTTTAAAAAAGTTCAAAAATAACGATTGTGACAATTTTTACAATCATTAAAACCACCTCGAAACATGCTCAAAAAATTTTTTCTCGCCTATTTAATACCTAAAAATAAAATTATTTTTAAAGGTTCTGTTATGAATATTATGACAATTGTCACTTTTATAGTTTACACATTATATTAATTCATGTTTGAAATAATCATTTTTCTCTATTTCCAATTAAAACATATGTGAAATAAGTATTATGACAATTGTCACCTTTATATGCTTTACAATCACTGAAACCATCTCAAAACATGCTCAACTAGCCTTTTTTAATTATAATTATTTTTAAAGGTTCTGAGATGAGTATTATGGCAATTGTCACTTTTATAGTTTACACTAAATATAAAACATTAAAATTATGACATTACATTTTTAAAATAATCATTATTACTTATTCCAAATATTAAAAAAAATGCAGTCGGTATTATGACCAATTCTCACATTTACAACCTATTCAAAAAAAATATTTTCATTAACATAACATAATAAAATAAAAAAAAATATATATCAAAAATTTTATTTTTAAAGAATTTACCAAAAATTTTAAGATCAAAATTTCAAAAATATTTTAATAAAGATTTCCTTACAAAAGATTTTATTTTATTATAAAATTCTCAAAATATTTTCTCAAAATTATAGAAGATTTTTTTACAAAAAATATTTTTTATTTTGCTCAAAAATCTTCTTTGAGCAAGCTCAAAATTTTTTTTAGCGAAAAAATCTTCGCAAAAAATTGATCTTCAAAGATTTTTTCCTCAAAATTTTAGGCGAAAAAAATCTTCAAATTTTTATTTGAAGATTTTTGTAAAACCCTGGTTAAAATTAATAGTTTAAACTACTTGCGCCATCTAGCGGATTTGTTTAAAATGAGATTTTTTAAAATTAATTTTTTGGCTCCACTCTAAAATTTTTTATATAAACAGTTCTTGGTACTCTTTACAAAATATCTAAAATTTGGAAAAAAAAACTTAGTCTAACATTTAAAAAATTAATTTTATTTAACATACGTTCAAGAGTTTACTTAGGGCTATAAAATGAACCATAATAGATATACAAAGTGCATCTAATATAAAAATTATCCCAATTTTAAAAAATCATTTTTTTCGAAAAATGACCATACTGAGCCACTTTGAACCCTATATTTCCAGTTCTAAGAGTTAAGAGGCTAATATTTTGGATTCGTCATTTACAATACTTTATTAACTTAAATACCAAATTTTAAGAAAATCTGAGATGGTCGGGTTGTAAAGTGATTGATTTGACATGGAATGGACGGCTCTCATTTCATAAACAATTTCCTTTATCTAAATAAATTTTTTTCAATAGAAAAACTTAGCGAAAAAGCCATAGCTACTGAAGGCGTTAATAAAAGTCCCATCGAAGAAGGCGAAGCTAAGGATGATGACGAAGATAAAAAAATTATGGGTAGATTAAATAAGACTAACTTTAATACCATTTTAAATGATTTGAGTTTATATAAAACAAAATCGTAAATACTACTATATTATATATCCAAATTTCTGGTTTAATTTTTCCTTCCTATAAAGAATTAAATTAAAATGTATTTATATTGATACCTTAAAATTTAGTTCTTTTTTTAAAACTTTTTAATCACATAATTTTATTATTTATCTTATTTCCAAAGTCCCTAACATTACAGATGAATCTTCGCCTAAGCCATTTCACAAAACGACTTCCATATTTTTGAGAAATTTACCACCCAACATTACCAAGACTGAAATCGAAAATGTAATTTATCATTATAAAAGAAGTTGTTTTTTAAAATAATTTTAACTTAATTTATCGTGAATATTTGTACTTGATTTATCAGTTGTATGATTTAATTCATTCAGACAAATATATTTTTTTAATAATTGTTTTACTTGATTCATGTTACACAATAATACGAGTACAACATAAGACTAATTTGAATAGAATAACTAGCAGATAAAATGTATTACGAAAACAGATGTACTTACCTCGAAGTATTTCCAATTGTATTTTTTTTAGATTATTATAAATAATACATAAAACATTTTTTTACATATCAGCTTTGCAAAAGTTACAACGGTTATTTGAGAGTAGCATTAGCAGACCCGTTACCAGAAAGAAAATTTTACAGGCGAGGTTGGGTTACCTTCAATAATAAGGATGCTAATGTTAAAGAAATTTGTTCAACACTTGCTACTATTAAAGTACGTACATTTTTTCTTCAGTGAAAATGCTCATAATTTTCTTATATTATGACTTTTTAAAATTTCGTTTTATCAGTTCAATTTAAATTTATTTTAAAATTAAGTTTATAAATGTTGATTGAGCGAATTATAAAAAATATGCTATATATTTTTTACAGATCAGAGACTGTGAAATGGGTCCTATTGTTAATCGTGATATAACAAGGAGGGTTAGATTAGTTAATGGAATAGTAGTTCATAAGCCTTTAGCTAAGAGTGACGTTAGGCTATCTCTTAAAATAGTTGTATCACTCGATAAAAAATACAATTTATGGAACAACGAAGAAACAACAAATAAGGAGACTTCTTTGGAGAAGGTTTGATAAAAAAATTTCTGAGAAGGGCTTAAGGATTCACTAATTTTATTGATATTAATTTTATTTAACTGATATAAAATATGAGTATTATCATTTAGCTAGTTCCCGATTTGAATGAATATACAGTACTATATTTTGGTTTATTAATGCTTGAATTGTCTACGATTATTTTAAATGATTTGATTAACACTCATAATTATTTAAACCTATTAGGAACCTCAAAATGACCTAAATATTGCAAATAGCATCAGCTCGGACCCATTTGAAATTGATGAAGAGCTGGCCGATATAATGAATATGATGGACAAGTCCTTATTGGAACAACCTGAAGTTTTGAAAAAGATTATTATGAAAGTAAAAAATCCTATCATCAAAAGTATAGTGGAAGAGCTTATGAAAATTTCGCTAGTGCCAGTTGACGAAATACCATTGGTTGACGATAAAAATGGTAAATAAACCTTTATAAAAAAATAGGAAGGATTAAATCGACTTTTTTGGTTGATTTAAAATAAAAGCATAAATATGAAATTACGATTTATGAATTAAAATGTATTTTCAAGAAATAAACGATGATTCTGTCATTAAGACCCTCCCAATCAATGATGTGATCAGATCTGTAGATCACAAAGATGCTACACCTAACAATGATTTTGATCAAGATCATACTGAATGCGATAAAAATAAAGAAACTCTTGAATGCGATAAAAATAAGGAAGATAAAACTGGCAAAGACAATGAAATTGAAACCAATGTCAATAGTGTAGAAAAGATTGTTACATTAGTAGAAAAAGACGAAAATATAAATAAGGTTCCTTTTTCATTTGACCATCACATCTATTTTTTTAAATGGGTTAAGTCATCCATCATGAGAATTTATGAATAGATTTAAAAAATATTATTCCATATCAACTATAAAACACCATGTCATCTCTTGGTTAAACACTATGACGGCTGAATTAAATATTTTAATCGTGCAACTTTTTTTAATTATAACTCCAAATATCCTAGTAAATAATTGAATTTAGAAGGAGATAGTAAGGCCGGACCGTGAGTTCATTAGAACGATTAATTTATTACCAAAAATCTAAAACTTTTTAATATTATTTATATTTCGAAAGTAACTCTAATTTTAATAATTAACATAAAATATATTCTTTTTAGTTATTAGACAAACTCATCTTATACCTCAGGGTGGTTCACTCTTTAGACTATTACAGTGTAAGTGAATACCCAAATGAAGATGATATGCCTAACAAATGTGGTATCATACATTGCAGAGGGTCTTTGAGCCAAACAAAAATTTTATCCAAAGATAGTAAGTGAAAACAATGTATATAATCCAATTTTGCACTTATTTTTTTCATATCATCTTTGGCTAATAAATTACAATAATGGATTCTGATTTAGGCTTTATTTTTTTTATATCATCTTTGGATATTATATTACATTATGGATTCTGATTTACGCTTTATTTTTTACAACATTTTTAACCATTAAAAAATTTTTTTTAAACAATCCTCCATGTTTATAAAATAAAACAATTGCTTTTGCATTTCTCAAATTAAAATGTTATTTGTAGTTCAAGACTGGCTGAAGAATTTCGAAAATAAAATTCAAACGTTTCTTTCCTCTAATAATCACGTGACTAAAGAAGAGGCTAGTCTACTTGGATTCAAAGATTATGAAACATATCCTTTTTTAATTTAATTATTTTATTTAAAATAACTATCATTATTATTTAAATGTGTTATTTTATTATCCTTAACTCTGTTATATTTACTTTTCTACAACTAAACTGAGGTGGAAAAATTTGTCCAAGAGAACACACAAGAATTATCTAAAGATAAATGGTTGTGTCCTTTGAGTGGCAAAAAGTTTAAGGGTCCGGATTTTGTGAGAAAACACATATTCAATAAGCACCACGATAAAGTCGAACAAGTTAAAAAAGAGGTTTGGTTTTTTTTAAATATTGCCATTTTTATAAAAATCTCGATAGTCATGACAATAAATGGCCATATACTCCCTCGGGGAAATATCTCGTAATTTAAAAATCGATTATAACAAATTTTCAGGCTTACATTATTTTTGCTAAAAAATGTTTAAATAACCCTAAAAATTTTATTTAAACAAGGTTGACTTTTTTAACAATTATCTATTGGATCCTAAAAGACCTCACAACATCGATATCCTGGGTTATGTATCGAGCTCCAATGCAATCATAGCTAATAATTCTGCCAACTCTACAACTAATAATGTTAATGCTAAATTGCCTACCAAACCTTTCAATAATTTTCATCCTTACCCTCCCAATCAACCCCACATATATCAGGGTGAGTTAACGAATTTCTGATATATATTGTAAAAATTGTTAATATTATATGCTTTAATCCGGGTTCTGATTCAGCATGTCTGTTAAATATTTTTAATTATCAGATTATCCTGGAAAAAACTACTATTACCCACCACCTCCATATTCTGCAAGACCAGGTATCGATTCATTCGAAAGGAATCAATTCATGAAGAGAAAGTTAGATTAAATTTAAAATATGTAGATATTAAAATTAAATTCTAAACATAATTTGTCCTTTTTATTTTATTTATATTATTTTTGGTTGATAATAAATTTTATCTTTACAAAATATATAAAAGGGGTCCTGGAATGCAACGAGAAATTATACAATATCGCGATTTGGATGCCCCAGAAGATAATGAAACCTTATATTAATCTCATTGAATACTTTTTTATACCAATTTTTTAATTATACAATTTATACTAATCTATACCCTATCAACACAATAATATATGTAAGATTGTAAGATTTAACTTTTTACCTAAAACAATAAATATTGTTGCGATTGATTAAAATATCAAATATAGCTAAATCCATATGCCATCACCTATAACCCCACTAATTTCGAAGTGCCACCAAGCTTACCACTGTTTTTGCATACTATACATTGCGTCATAATTTTTTAAAATATATTCATAAAGTTAAGATTAAAAATGGTGCGAGACATTTAAATATTATTTAATGCTTCATAATATTTTATCGATAAAATAAAATAAGCAGATAAAAACAATTTGACAAAATTATGCTTTGATGTGTTTCCTGGAAATTATCAATTAACTTGCTTAAATTTCATATATTCACTTCAAACTGCAGATTGGTTGTTTATACTGTCAAGATAGTATTTTAAAAAATTATTTTTAATTGTTTTTTAATAATGTAATGTTGCTTGAATAAAATTATTATTTTCGTATTTGTTTTATTATTAGTTTTTAATAGAGTTAATTTTGAAAGAAAAATAAATATTTGTTAATTAAAACAGTTATTAAAAGATACTTTCAAATATATCTAGGTACAGATGCATCGTTTTGAAATTTAGGAAATGTATCTGAATACAGATACAATTTTTATAAATATATCTAAGTATATTTATTATAATTATATAAAGTGAAAAAAATATTGAATTGATAAGAAAGTAATAATTGTTGATTTTAATAAAACATTCTCAAAATTTTTATCATTAAGGCATCCACGTTTATCTGTAAAAATATTTTTAGCCTATTATATTTTTTTAAAATTGGTATATTCTATAATAATTAATCAATTTTCACAATTAAAAAATTTTTTTAAAAAAATAACATTAAAATAAAAACGCTCTTTCTATAAGAACAAAATTAGGATTACAAGTTATCAAGAACACGAATAATTATATTTTAAAATAGTAATTTAAATTTTTTGTTTTGAGAAATAATATTCCTTGGGTTCTGATGTAAGGGCTCCTATTTTGCCTCCTATATTTAAAAAAAATACAGCTCTGCGAAATATATACAAGGGGAGAGATAATGATTGGTAAAAAAACAATTTGTTAATTTAGAATATTTTTTTCTTGGCTATATTAATTGGATTAGAATTTACATTTTTTGGAAATAAAGCGACATGTGAAGCCCCAAATTAAGGATTTACCTAAAGACCAATTTACAGAAATTAAACAATCTGGCCTTAGACCATCATCTTAAAAAATTAGCTGACTACAGGATGTTTGGTATTCAGGCCCTCGCAAGAGAACAGCCAATACCTGAATTAATCGTTGCATGTCTGTCTTTACTATATACAATTAAGACCATGTTTCCCTTTTAAATCAACTTATATTGTACATTTTATGCATGGATGGGTAGTGCACACAATTCGATGGCCTATGGCAACTCTTAATTGTTCATCTGATAAGAGGTTACGACTTGGTAATGCTTCCAAATAGAGGTGGGCTGGGGCCTAATTTTTTATTCACAGCCTGTCCATTCACGGTAGCAATAAAAATGATTCACGCCCTTTCACGCTTACTGCTAAAAACTTTAGACGCGATCCGTCCTCTCACGAAGGAGAATATTTTGATCACGTTCAAAATTCATGGTGTTTTAAATTTTTTTAACTATTGCTATACTTTTACACTTTTTGGAATTTGTTCTATCATAGCTTTTATTTCTCTAATTCCATATAACATAAAATTATAATTTATAAATCTTTTATATAGATAAGAAAAATGTCCATGTTTTTTTATTTCAATTGTGTTCGCCTTTACTCTAATAACACTGTGACAAGAAAAATGGGAGAAGAAAATAAAAACAAGTTTTGGTGCAGAATTTGACGCTGAGTTCGAATCCGTTTTCCAAATTTTCCCTACACCTCAAGTTTTAAAAATATTACCGTATAAAGACAACTTTTCGAAATCTCAAAAATGGTAAAATTTAGGTCTTTATACGGATATATTTTAAAAAGTATCGAATAAAAATCCCTGAAAATTGTTGATGGTGTTAAACTTATATTTCTTTATAAATTTACTAATTTTTTATCGATTGGTTTTTGAGAAAAATGGTAAAGAATTTCGTTTTGGGGGTCTGATAAATTTTATATAATTTTGCTTCATATATGCTCAATATTATATATTAATTCTAATTATGTTTCAAAAGTACTCTATGCCATGAAAATTCAACCAAAATCTATAAATTAAAAAAGTAGGTAATATTTTCGAACTTTTTAATTTGTACACTTTTATTGAATTTTCTCTGCATAAAGCAAAATTAAGGTAATATTTATCTTTTTTAGTTGTATATAGTAATATTTTATGCATTTATGATCAATTTATACCAAAATCATATATCTGTACCTACTTTTTTAATTTGTACTCTTTTTAAATTGAGCATTTTTGAAACAAAATTCATTTAAAATGCAATAATTGGTAATTTTTTCATATTTTTTATTAATATTTATCTTTTTTAGATGTATTTATGAATTGTTTTTTTAATCAATTTATATCAAATATGATTTTCCAATGGAGTATCTTGATTCTTGAACCCGTAGTATGGGCAATAAATAATAATGCCAAATAACGAGTAGGAAGAAAGGAGGAGAATTATTTTTTTTCGCGCTTAATTTTTTATAAACATTAAATTTCTTTCATTAATTTTTTTTTAAAATTGGATTTTAAATATTATTCAAATTCCCTCCTAATATAATATTCTACAAAAAATTAATGCCTAGGTTCCCTTGTTTAAAGTGTGTCTCTAAATTTTGTTACATCTGTGCGGGCTATATATTGCCCGCACAAAAATGCCCAATTTCTTTAATCATTCAAAGGATTTATTAAATTTATTACAATATTTCACTCTGTGATTTGGATAAACCATTTGCCCCTAATTACATATGTAAAACATGTTATAACTCTTTTAATTCGTGGGTAAATGGAAAACGGTCATATTTGCCTTATTCGAAACCTGCATTTTGGCACGTAGCAAGAAATCATTCATGGGATTGTTATTTTTGCTCGATTAGTACATTTGGGTTTAACAAAAAAAATAAGAAGAAAATTCGTTATCCATAAATTTCGTCGGTTGTTTACCCGGTAAAATATAATATGCATACAACAGTTCCTTTTTTTAATAGTTCACAGCTGGAAGAATTACGTTGCCAGGACAATGACAATATTGATCTTGAGTATCATCCCGAAGAGGATTCGCCATTTATGTCACAAGAGCAACTAAATGACATAACCAGAAATTTACAACTTTCAAAAAGAAAGTCCGAATTTTTAGCCTCAGGGCTTAATGATTTTAAAATTTTAAAAAATGGAGTTCGAACTTCATACCGATTCCATGGAGCATCGTTTAAAAATTTATTCTCTTACAAAATTTTTTTATACTATTCCAACAATCTAGGTCAAGTTTTTTTACATAATATTGAATTGGTGCCCGATGAATGGCGCTTGTTCATCGATTCAAGCAAAAACAGCTTGAAAGCAGTTTTGCTTCATAACGGAAATTCTAAGCCATCAATTCCCATCGCCTATTCCAAACAGTTAAATGAATCATATGAAAATATGAAATTTATTGTGAAAAATAAATTATTCCATTTACGAATTTAAGATATGCTGCTATCTCAAAATGATCGCAATCATGACGGGCCTTCAGTTAGGCTACACCAAGCATTCGTGTTTTCTTTGTCTCTTAAATTCCAGAGAAACTCTAAAACATTATACACTATCTGAATGGGAGGATCGTTTCAACGTTCTTAAAAAAAATCGCGTAAATATCCCGCTTGTTTCTAAAAATAAGATTTTGTTGCCTCCGTTGCACATAAAATTAGGACTAATCAAAAATTTTATCAAAAAATTGTCCGAGGGCCCCACGATATACCTTAGAAATTTTTTTCCCAAGCTATCCCAAGCAAAAATAAAAGAGGGGATTTTAGTGGGCCCCCAAATAAGAAAACTCATGAAGGACAGTTTTTTGGAAGATGAATTGTTACCCATTGAATTAAAAGCATGGGAATCTTTTAAATGGATATGCATAACGTTCCTTGGCAATCATAAATCAGCCGACTATCGTGAGAAAATTGATGACCTATTAACAAATTATAAGGAAATGGGATGCCGAATGTCCCTCAAAATCCATTTTCTTCATTCCCATAAAGATTTTTTTCCTGAAAACTTAGGTGCTGTGTCAGAAGAAATGGGGGAGCGGTTCCATCAACAGATAGAAAATCTCGAAAAGTTTTATCACGGCAAGAATCATAATAATATGTTGGCGGACTACTGCTGGAGTATCTTTTTTGAAGATAAATCATCAACTTCATATTTGCGGAAATATATTTAGATTTACCAATAAATGTTTTTAAATTCGATAAATTTTATGTTATTGTTTAATTTGTTTCAAATTCAATAATTTTATTGTATATTACAAGTTAAATCCTATATAATAATGAAGGAGGGGGTGGACAACGGACCGATAAAAGATTTATTAAAAGTAAAATATGAGATAGGTTAGCTTAGCATAATATATTTATTTAAATATGAGAAATGTAACTATTTCATTTAAAATAAATTGTTTGGGAATCGTACCTTGTGCAGTGTAGCGATAAATCCTATATAATAATGAAGGAGGGGGTGAGACAACGGACCGATAAAAGGTTTATTAAAAGTAAAATATGAGATAGGTTAGCTTAGCATAATATATTTATTTAAATATGAGAAATGTAACTATTTCATTTAAAATAAATTGTTTGGGAATCGTACCGTGTGCAGTGTAGCGAAGAGAACGAAAGCCACAATAAATAAATATATTAAATGTAAACTATATTAAAAAAGATTTTATAAATAAAGGTAAATTTAAAAAATATAGGTTGTTTAAAAATTGAGTAAGGATTTTATAAAAAGCTGCAAAAATTAAGATATTATTTAAGTTGTAGGGATCATTAGAACCGAAGTTATAAACCTTCAAAAATGACATTTTTGGTCACTTTAACCTAAAATAAATAAAAAACCTGACGTGCTAGAAAAAAATTGACAGCGGATTTAGAATATGCATAAAAAATGGTCTTAAAACATGTTTATTTTATTTTCTCCCAAAAAATCAAGCTGAAATTTGTCACACAGTGTAAGCGATTGGCTATAGAAAATAACCTTTCACTAGATCCCGAACTTGCTGGGGCTGACAAAATTTTACAACATAATTTTAAAAAAGGA